CACCTCTTAAAATTTTAGATAAGTATATCTATTATAGTAATAAATTTGAATAAGATTGAATATGAATAAAAGCAAATTTTACGTCTTATATAAGGATACTAATAAAAGTTACCAGTAATTAAAACGAAAGATTAATTACACATTTTATATACGCGACAGTTTTCAAAGTTAGTTTCTAAATGCCCTTTAACATTTTTGAAGTACATTGTTACAGAGAGACTATTGCTTTAAATATTTGAACAATTGTTTAGAGACATCTAATTAGATGCTTAGAAGTCACTGAAAGGTGAATTCACAGCTTTAGAAGATATTTATAGATTAGTTAAAAGCATATTAGAAAATAAATATTTAATTTATAAATGACCTGATCTTTTTTCCTAATAGAAAAACAAATATTGTTTTCTTAATAAAATATGTCAAGTTTTCTCCAAACGGTTGAAAATGTGAGACTTTTAAGTGTGACTTGGAAACAGAACTTAAAGTATAATGTTACCTCGCATTGGCATAATCCTTTTTTTCATTATGGACGTCATAACATTTTCGTTATTTAGATCCACAATAAGCAAATATTTATAAACTTAGTACTTAGTTTAAACTACAACATGAAAAACATAATAATTTTGCATTATTTATTTTACTCCTCTCCTTAAAAGAGTTTACATTCTACAGTGCGGTTTGACCGGCAGAAAGACATATAGATACCCGAGTGATTTTATAATGGTTCCGTCTTTACTTTTCAGGTAGATCCCTTAAAACAGTTAATTAAACGCTTGTTTGACTATCGTTGTGTTTGCTACGTTACTACAATGTTTCGTCCTACATTTTATTAGTGCGACAAACAAGATCCCAAACAATTTTACCTCCGTTTGACACCCGCCGACCGAACAACGGTCACGTGCGAAAACTTGAGCAATTAGATCGAAAGTTTCTCACACGATCGCCCGTGATTAATGTAATTTGTTGTCAATCTGTTACACATTCTACTAAGATTAACGTATCACAGTAACATACACCTCAAATGGCCTATTAATGTAAGGGTAATTTATAAACGTCAGAGATGAACAGCAAATCGTAAAATTACACCTAAAATACAATATTTTCCAATTTCTGTTGTAATTATACTCTTGTCTATAAGTAAATGGGTCATTTTGCAGCAAGACCTCATTGCCAAGCGCAAATTTAATGATATATTTTCACAAATTAATGTCCATAGTTTATAATGATATGTTTTGCATTTCTAATAGTTAATGTTCACAGTTTGTCATGTTCCAATAACCAAATTTTTTCTGTCATTGTAAACCTTAATCTGTTTTCATTAAGTTAAAAAAAAATCAGAAATTAAACTAACGATCGAGTGTTTTATAATCGAATATAATTAGTTCTTGATACTCTTTCCATATAAGCTCGAAGGATAAGGCATTTATAAATACTTAAATTAAAAAAAACAGTCCAAGTTACAAAGTCTATGTATGTAATGTAGCACCCATACTTCTTCAATTACTTTGACTTATGTTCAACATTAATCCACAATACGGAATTTGAAGAAGAACACCGTAAAAGGACCTCTTTGAATACCTCAAAACCACTTGAAAGTTGAAGATTTCAACTATTCGAAGTAGTAATTGAAATGAAAACTAACTTTACCGTCATTTGATTCTAGCGAAATCTTACTTGATAGTTGTTGAATAGTTATTCAGACCGACATTACTTCCACTGAAACCTTCATAGAGGTATTATAGATACAAGGAAGATTATACGGCTGCCTGAAAGCGGAAACCGCTTTCGATCAAGAGATAAAAAATCTTGCTATCCTGTTTCTTTCTGATAACGCATGCATATTAAAGGACAGCTATTAAGAAATCTTAGATGCCTTTTGCTATATGCTTCTCTTTGCTAATTACGGATGCACAATGGAGCCACAAATGAGCGAGACAGATAACGTACTCGTACCACGATCTTCACTCTCTTTCTAAGCGGGGGACAACTGTAAGCTGTCCCTGCTCTACTTGTAGTGCTGTCTTTGATTCAATTACAGATACTTTATTACCAATTTTAAATTTAATCTGAAATATATTTAAATAACAAATCGAATAACTTTATATGACATGTGTCTTTTTTATTAAGAAATTTATTGTATTTCAATTCTTATAAAACACCATATTGTGCTATCATAAAAAGGGCATAACAAAATGTTTCTATGTTTTTGTATTTCCAATAATATATTTTCTCTTCCTTTTCTTAATTAATTTATACGTATTTTTACTGCTACTGATTTATGAAACATACTTTTTTAAATTCCGATTTTTACATAAGTAACCGAGTTATCTAAATCAAATCACGCTTCAACGTGAATAAGGCAACAAATAAATAGTTTATTTTCACAACTTTTCTTTACTATCTCAAATATCAGTACAAAACTACCTCTACTAATAGAATTTTTATAATATCGTAAAGCATAAATAAAATAAAAAAAAATCTATGGCGCTTGCCGGCTAACGTCGCTCTCGTTTTACTTATTTGTTCGGTTTCAGTTCTCACTTATTCGATTTATCGTTTTCTTTCATGGCTTGTAACGCTATGTCAATTAATATTCAAAAAGGAGTCAACACAATACTGTTTGTCAAAAAACAATCATTATGATAAAGTATAAATATGTCATACTCTTATGCCTGTATATTAAATATAAGAGTATAATGCAAAACGAATGATTCCCTTTAAAATCCTTTTATGAAACAAATAACAAATAATTGTTATAGTTTTCCGAAAGGACCTTTACTAAAACCGAAGTGAGAAACCATTTAATAACAATGCTCTATTCAAAAAATCACGCCGACTATTGGAAATACAAATTTCACAGCATTTCCTATCTTTGACAACCTCTTTAGACCTCTTTAGTCGAATGATTTGTACAGTGTTGCCATCTCAATGATACCGAGTTCGATACTCACTCAGGTTTGTGTATAAATGAAAATTTCTATATCGATCGTTGTTTCATAACAAAAGAGTTACCTGAAAAACGGCTCTTCATCAAAATTTCGGGCTTTTCGAATGTTGGGATTTATTATCAGGATCGGCAGAGACTTCAAACGTTGTTCTACTTTAACTCTTTTGTTTAACTGCTTTGTTAGATCGATTTTGGAGTATGCTTCATTTATCTGGTATCCTTATTATAATTTATACATAAACAGCATCGAAAGAATATATTTAAAATTTGTAAAGTATATATCATTTAGATGTTCACATTGCAAAGATAATAGAGATGAACTTATCAAAAAGTTCCAATGCAAGCGTCGTTGCGAAAGGAATCAGACTTTTCTGTATAAGATCTTATACATACAATCTGATTGACTTGTCCTCACTTATTAGTAATATTTACATAAAATAATATAATTTTATTTTTCATTGAAATCACTTAGTCACAGACGTAAGATGGCCGAATATAGTACTTTGTATAAAATTGTCAATGCCAAATGGGATGCAAGTGAGTTGCTGGGTCATTTCTCGCTCAGAATTGGTAGTGCTCGAACGCAGAAGCTGTTTTCCTTACCTATAAGTAACAACAATGTAACTTTTAATGATCCAGTTTCTCGTATGTGTAGAGCTTACAATAATATTAGTAAAGACTTGGACATTTTTTCCCAAAACTTGCCCATTTTCTTGCGCACGTGTGATCTTAAAATAAATTCATAATAATTGCCTGTGTTGTCTAATATAAGTTGTATTCTTGAAGTGTTGTGCGTAGCTATAATCGGGGGACAAACTTAGTGCTAAACTAATATATAACATTTTGTAATATTGTATTGTATGGTTTGTTTTCTGTAGCTGTGCCTTTTATAAATAAATAAATAAATAAAAATAATATTTCCCCGGATAAGCTTTAGAAGTAAAGCTTTATTCAATGTTCTTCTTGTTAAATCGAATCACATTGCTAACACATTTTTATATAGAACTTGTTGTATTTATAATAACAAGTTTTATTTCAATTTACATCTTTAAAGCTGAGAGGAATACTCAATAATAAATTTGTGAATCTGATATTTTCAAATAATTGTTTTTATTTTTTTTATTTTTAGCTATTAACACGTTTCATGCTCTTGTGAATTAATTTATAGTGGACTTAACTGATTTGTGACATTGTTTATATTATTTTATTTGATTGTGTAATAATATTGTTTGTTTCCCAAATACTAATAAAATGTAATAAATAAAAATTCCTACAAAAAATTACGCTTTATCATTCAATACTTAAGTAAGAGCTGCTTTGCTATTCAGTAAAAATAATTCCTTTTTAAATTTGAACTTGATTGAATCTCAAACATGTTACATCATAGTGCTCGACAATAGTTTCGACGCTGATTTTTACAGTACATCAAAGCAAAACAACAAAATGCCCTTATAAGTATGTTATAAGTAAAGAGTCAAGTTTATGTTTATTTTTAAAATACCACAGCTCACAAACTGCACAGTGTTCTAATGGGCTACTCTGTTTTTCTGAAAACGACTGTCATTTTGGATACGCTTTTAAACTCTTGCTCATAAACCGATTTTTCGACAATTTAAGATACAACGGACATTGCCTCTGATGCACGAATAATAATCATCACGGACGTGATGTTAACAAGTTAATAGGGATGACGACTGGGTAAAAGAATGCAATTCTATTTAGTCCGTCAGTCAGATTAGATGCCCATTTTTTTTACTTCAATTTTACAAGAAATAGTTCAGATAACAGGCATTAAAGTTGAGGAGTGGGGGCTAGCAACGTCACAGTTTAGTAGAAAACGTACCATAACGTGATGTCATGCGAAATTTCACGTCCATGTAACGCCGTAATTTTATGATTACGAAAAAAATAAAAAAATACGTATTTAATATTTTTTAACACTCTACCTGACGGACAAACAAACAAAAATTTGTCGTCATCCCTATTTTAACGATTCCCAATTTTCGTTCATAGATGAACAAAGTACGACCTCGGGTTTAAATGAAAAAAAAAAGCAATCAATTCTCTCGGTATACTTTATTGATTAATTACAGTAAATTGCACATATTCTCATCCATTGACATTAATTACAAGGCCTTTTAAACATTTTACATTATTGTACAATTATAAAAAATATCTTCATTATAATACTATATAAACATGCAGTCACTATTTTTACATACATACAATTATTTGATTACAACAATAGAAAAAGTTTTTTCGTCAATGGGCTCATAGTTTTACAAAACTATAAATGACGGAAATACTTTTTGTTTTAAATATCTAAACGATTAACTATATTTACAACATAACAAACATCTAATCTCTGATATTGAATTGGATACATTTTTTATACATTTACCTAACCATATTAATTTAAATACATAATTCTTAAAAGCTATCGTCATTACGCAGACTAAGTGAACTCTAAAGGGAAGGGTTTTAAAACTGATTTTAATATTCTATGAATACTAAATGCCCGACAAAATTTTAATGCAATTTTAAATAGAACTTCTTGCTGAAATAAATTCGATTACCTATGGGATGAATTTGCATACATTTTGAAGTTTAGTCGCTCGTCACTAATTAAAACAAAGTAGGTGTTCCTGATGAACGCCACCGGAATTTACCTGAAATATAAAGAGAAAATTTATAATAATAATGAACACATAAAATGAAGTCGTTAAAATCTCTATTTTATATACAATAAAATATTTATTCTGTTTTAAGAAAGTTGAATGGCAAGAGTTATTTGAAACGATTAATATCAAAACATTATAATATGTAATTACATTTTTAATAACAGTACATTCCTATAGCGGACAAAATATCGGAAAATGAGCCAGAGTAGGCCAGATAACCAGGTTTTGGCCAGAGATAGTTTTGTCAGTAAAGTAATATTTGCTTATGTATAGAATATGTATAGTGCCCAGATCATCTGCTCTATTATTTGAACGTTGATAAATAATAGACGATACGTATTGATATTTATCTGTCGAGCTCCTCAGATTCTTTCATCTACCGTTAATTTAAATCATCTTTTGTCGATCGTAATAATAAGAAATAAATGACAATCAAAGATCTTGGGTTCAACAACTATACGAAAACGAAACAAATATTGGACAAAATAAGCCTAGTGCCGAATTTAGGGCAACCAGCCCATTCATTCTAAGACACAGCGTTATAGTTACTCAGCAGACTACGCCCACCTTATAAATATTTAGAATATCACGTATCACAAAAGAAGGCAATTGAATTCAGCGTTAGTTTTCATTCAGAGATACTGAATAATTTAGGTATTTACTCTTAAATCAATATATCTATAAAACTTTTGAGTTCATATTCAGAATTTGGTAGATTTGCTAACTAAAAACAAAGTAAAGTTAGAAAAATGTGCCTCCTGTTTGCGTTGCTAAACTCTTAAATATCATAGTATAATAATAAATGTTTAATAGTCTTAAATCTTTTTTAAGAATTGGACTACCAAACGCGAAAGATTGAGGACTTCCTAACATTTATACGGACATGAGGTTTTGATAAATAATTGATATTTCAGATTTTGACTTCGAGTCCGAATGTCAATTTGTAGTATCGATACAACAAACAAAATATATTACCTCTACATTGGATTTCTAAATTTAATTATAATTTCTCTAACGAGTCATCGGTCTCAATCCGTTCCTGGTCACTATTTCGAGTGTCAATCAATATTTCACTGAAGTTATTGAACTAGATTTTAGAACACGCCATTCTCATAAATCAAATGAAAAATAAAAATATTGGCTCAGATGGTAGAACACAATAACATTTTCCTGTTTCAATAGAACAATTTACGACTTCAATTATATCGTGTAGGTAAGTTCTTCGAAAGTCTATGTCTATTTTTATTTCTTTTTCAATTTCAGCGACGAGCTTAATTATTTATCTACGTGTAGAAAATAAATAGCAAAAAGAAACAAAAATATAACCGAATAACTAATGTAAACAATAACAAGTGTAAGTTTTAACGTTTTTTCTAATTTTATTTAAGTATTCTTTACTTTCATGAATAAAATAAGCCTATATTTCATGTGACAACATTGTCAACACTTTTAGGCATCTAGTTTGAGTCTCAATTGCCAGTACAAGACTAAAAAGTCGCTTAATTTAGGATCTGATAAATGTATATAATGTAGTCCACTTATTCTTGGAATAAATTACCCGGAAAAATCAATGGCGCAAGGAATTGCAAGATACTAAAGGATTGTTATTATTTTAAACGTTATTCATTAACTCGGAAATCTATTGCGGATATTGTCATTGTGTTGTTACTTCAAGTAAGATTAAATCTTAAATAAACAATACTCACCGACAAAGCTACAGAGCTGATACAATTGGTTCCTTATCTGATGTGAGAACAGTTTTATCTACAAACATATACATATTTACACAGTCTTCTTCATTATGACTCGGATTATCTTCTGGTTTCTCATCCGGACTTATATTTTCTATTCCTTCGTCGTCGAAGCATTTCATTTGCTCATTGAACTCTATTTTATATCTTAGCGATGGCAATTTATTTACAGTCGATGTAAGTAATGATTCTTGTACAGTATCATTGCCATTACAAGTTTTCTCTGAACGGAAAGCACCAGTTCTTTCTGATTGGTTAAATTTTCTTTTTGATTTCTTTGTTACTAATGCTCCTAAGCATGGCAGTATCTGCTTGAACTCTTTACGGAAATTTTCATTCAACCAGGCGTACAAAAATGGATTATAACAAGTGGAAGACATGGCTATGAAGTGTGCTACAAAAAACAATACCATATAATACGTCCAGTCTTCAGTTAATGAGTAGAAATCACTACAAATATTAATTAAATTTAAAGGTAACCATGATAAACCGAAAATGGCAACCATTGCTATAAGCATTCTGTTCGTTCTCCTCTTCCTTTCTCTCTCGGCGTCTTCCTTTTTACTGTTCTTACTTCCTGGTCTAGATTTCAGTCGGTCGTTGAGTTTTATACTGACACAAGTATAACAGAATGCCATTACAATAAAAGGTACGACGAATTGCATGATAGTAGTGACAGCGCCGAAGGCTTTTCGTATTTGATCACTGGGCCATTCTTCTGCGCAATAAACGTCTTGCAACGCCATATAATAACCATAAGGGAAAGTGACAGATAAGGCGAATACCCATATAAATATTATTAAACCAATGCAGGTTTTAAGTTTCATGCGAGGCTTAAACGGATAAATGATAACGAAGAATCTATCGATGGCGATGGAAGTGAGAGTGAGCGTAGAAATATAGACGCTACATCCTTGAGCATAAGGCATAATGTGGCATAACAAGCCACCGAAGACCCATCTGCCCAAGAAAGTGTAAAGAGGCGTAAAAGGTACTGCAAATACGCATAATAATATGTCCGATAATGCGAGGTTCGTGATGAACAAGTTAGTTACAGTTTGCATTGCTCGGTTCCTTATGACAGCGTAACATACTATGGCGTTACCAAAGATTCCTACGACAAAAATAATGGTGTATGCAACACAAAATGCGGCTTGAATCGCCTTGTCTTCGATTGGATCTGTGGCATTGGTATAGTTATTATTGGTAAATTCGTTAAAACTGTCATTGTAAAACGGCTCATCTGTGGCCCATGTTTCGGTCGGCATAATTTTGTAGTATTCTTAACTCGGCATCATAAACCAGCCAAGCTGGAACTTATCATGTTTATATGAATGTCGTATGCGATGGGTCAGACTATGTTTTAAATGCTCGCGTCTCATAGTGCTCCTTTATTTGAATATTTGAATTTTCAATTGAAGAGGCTACCGTCAAGTGAGCAGTAACTCGTGTCGGTTCATGATGTCCTTCTTAGTTTACTAATTCGTCGTTTACTGCGTGTCAATCTGAAACAAATGAAATATTTATTTAGGTATATTTGCATTATTGAATTGTATAAGATCGTTATTGATTGAGAGAAGCTTTTGAACTCGTTATTTGCTAACGTCATTATCGGTTCGAGGTCAATTCCCAGCTGATTCGATATTGAAATTTTACGGTTTTATAGTGTTTCTGATTATATTATGCTATATCTGATTGAAATACCTGGTTCGGATCGTAAAATCATCCATGTTGTTTGTATATAAATATACGCAGATTATCGTGCAACATTCATAACTCCTACTTCTTTATATTTAGATGTGACGATGATTGTGCTCTGGTACGGATAATGAGATTTGACCTCGAACATACGTCAGTAGACATAGTTATTAATAAATATGATATAAAACTGCTTCAAGTTGATTTAAAAATGAAATCAACAACAAATATATCAATTAAATACACATATAGAAAACAAAACAAAATACTTTACTTTACGAATTACCTATAGTTTAAAAATATCAAATAGGTACTAGCTCTTTTCCCGCGATTTTGCCCCCGAAAATTATTGCCTATGTTGCCAGCATAGGATGTAGTTTTCCCTAGGTGAAAGAACTTTTATAATAATCCAGTAGTTTCAGAACCCAATCAATAATAGTTAAACTAGTTCTCAACTGTACTTATGAATTAAAGTGTCACTTATCATAAATATTATCGAAAATATGAGCAATCTTCAATGATATCTATTATTATAATCAACAGTTTGTATATTTAGATGTACCCATTGATAGTGTCGATTCTTTTGGAAAATGGTGATTTTCGATTGGTGAAGAAATCACAATCTACTAATATTAAATAAATAATAAGTTATAAATAAATGCGTAAATAAGTCTGTTACGCTTTCACGCCTAAACCAATGAAGTGATTTTGATCAAATTTGGCACAAAGAGAGAGTTTACTTATATTAACATGCAATATGTAAACTGTAAACCTATGTCCTTACCTAAATTACGTTATTCAAGGGAAAAAAGGGGTTGCATTAGATTTTAAAACCATGGAAAAAGCTAGTGACTGCACATATTTATTTAATGCTGCAATGCATGTGTAATATGGGAAATTGAAATTGTTATTTATAGAAAAAAAAAGTAATAAACTTTGAAAAAAGTGAAACGAACCCACAAGTAGATCAAAGATTCTATCATACTGGTCCTGTTGAAAATTCTCATTTTTTTTCTCTATTGGGAACAATATAAATATTTCAATGTTCCTTGTATTATTTGTGTGTGAAATATTTGGATTATTTGTGCTATATAAAAATATTTATTTAATGGAAATCAGCTGAAACCAAAAATTACTAAGGAGTTCATATAAAAATTGTTTCAATCTAATGGGTATTTCTAGGGTCCCGAATTAAAAAAATCTAATTATAATAGTCCGGTCTATTTCAAATTTCATTAAAAACATTTATATTGAATAACTGACAAGCTGTTTTTAATCAAACATTAACTTATTCTACATAATAATAATAAACAATATAACAAAAACTTATTTCTCTTACATTTTTAAGATATTCTCATTAAAAATTTATATGTTATTTAATAAACGTTTTTCAGACAACATTAATTTGTTTCAATTACGAATCCCGGAGGGGCGAAAGTTCCCAACTTTTCGCATTGCTACCTGTTATCCGATAAATAAAAAAATCCCTACTGAAGTCGAATTAAAAACAAATATTCTGCTTCAATTGCTTGTTCCCTTTTAATCGGAATAAATGTAAAGGTTTTAGGTAGCTACAGATTTAAAGCTTATTATTGACGCTTCTACCCGAGCTGTTAATAACGAAAAGTGTATTTTCTATTGTTTATTTACTGTTTTTTTTATATTTTTACGGGTATTGTCACGGCTAGATGATGATAGCTACTTGAAATGTGTCATCATCATCACCAGCCCTTTTACGTCCCCACTGCAGGGGCTCAGGCCTTCCTTATGGATGGTTAAGGAGGATGGGCCATGACCCTCCACGCTGGCCCAATGCGGATTGGAGGGTATTGACGACTGCAAATGCAGCCGGGACCAACGGCTTCCGAAGCATGGAGTAGCTCGAGATAATCATTTTTTGGTCACCCATCCCGTGACCGACCTTTGCGAAAGTTGCTTAACGACTACGATCGCGGGCCGCGGCGCTTATCCACTACGCCACCGAGCTACTCAATAAAAACACAATAAATGTGTATCACTAATCAAATAATGTAATTGCTAATCGATGTCGAGAAGCGCGGCGTTTATTTTCATGAAACGCACAATAATTGAAATATAAGTTTTATAGATTGAATTGAGTAAACTGCTTTAGAGGTAGTTGGCCGTTTTGTGTGATTATTTAAATAAATATGGTAGAGATTTTCAATGTTAAATTATAGCGCTGCATTATTAAATACTTATAATACCGGTTATAATATTATTTCCTCGTGGTGTCTATTTGTAAGTTTTTACCCTGTTTCGCAAATAAACAATTACAACGTAAATAATTCATGGACTTTCGTTTTTTAATTCTAATAGTAGAATTATATTTTAAATACTGTGTCGAGTATCGTCAGCTAGACCGACCTATTTTTATACTTTGTCTATGTTTTTATAGTTTTTTTAAATATATATTTTTGTTTTTTATTTTGACATATTATTCTAATAATTGATTGACACGTGCTTTGGCGAGAACCTTTGCTTTGTAGTCGATAAAAGAATTTGTGAAGATATTTTATTTTCACACCTATGCCCACACCATTCCATGTCAGCTTCTTCGTCAATAACATACTGAGTTACATATTTATTTCACAATTGCGTTAAATGTTAAAAAACACATACGCACCACCATTTTTTGTAGTTTGCAATAACCGTTATTAACCGCTTTTGTTAACTAAAAGAGTTTTACAAATATATTTCTTGGTATACAATGTTGTTTAGCACAGTGCTGTCGTAGAATTAAAGATTTAAACAAATACGACTTGTAGCAGTTTGGAAAATGAGATAAATGATAAATATATCTAATGAAAAATGCTTAAATATCCACCAGCCTTAAGTATCCTGAGATTTCATTAGAGATATAACAATGTGAATGTAAATTTGATGAGTAAATGAATTATAACTAAATAGAAGAACTATATAGATATAAATATATAGAAGTTAGCTGTCAAATAGAATATTTGGCTAAATTGCCGTGCCCACACTCGGCATTTTGACGGTCCAAACACGTATCTCCATGGGACTGACTCCTGCTCCCTTATTCACGACCTATCAAAAACTTTCCGTATCATATAATGTCAGTATTGTTTCTGACGGAATCGAAAACTCTATTCACTAAGCTTATCAAAGAATGTTGGCAAATTCGACTACACTTTGTAAATTATATTATTAAAAACATGGTTCTTAAAGTGCGTTAACAAAAGTTTTGTCATATAAAAAGATATGGAATGAGTGCAGTGGTTACATGTTTGGTCTGCGATGCGGAAATTAAGCGACTTTTACGTAGCTTTAATTTAACCAAAATGTTACCTTGAGCTTCTCAATGCTTGAGAATGTAGTTAACGTATATGATTCATTACGTACAAAATAAAAATGTCTATAAAAAAGAAATCCACTTTTCCAGAGAAAATGGTGAAAGTCTTTGAATTTTTATATCCAGCTTTACGTCTAAAGTATTTCTATACGCAACTGAATAGCATTACACCCGAATAAGTCGATTATGTTCAATATTAACGCTCCACCGAAGTGGCGGAGAGAAACCTATTAATAACGATTGTGCACGCCTATCCTACGCCAAAATATTTGATGTTTGCTCCTCTAACACTTGTGCTAATTACAAAGGATTTCATTCTCATGTTAAAATGTAACGTAATACCTGTCAATGCAATACCAAAATTGAAAAATAATAGATTTAACGCAAGATTTTTCTAATAAAATTTTTCATATATTATCAAGTAAAAAAAAAAACTTTTAACGCAAGATTTTTCCAATAAAGAAGTTCAAATATTATCAAAAATATTTATTTTATTCTAGTTTAAGTATTTGTTGTTATAAGGACAACAGAACAACTGATCTGAAAAAAATTCAATTGACTGGCTGTCATGATTCATGAGCTACATACTGGAGCTACGTACAGCGAAATATTAGAAATAACGTCCCATTTTTACGCTTTAGCAAGGAATCCTAATAATAGCAACATTGAAATCAATAATATTGCAGAAACCTGACTAAAAGTGTTAATTCTGTGCGGCTGCATTTCTAATTAATAACAGGGATAAACTCAGTTATATTATACATATACTCAGACAGAAGTATAATTTCTATTTAATTTAATTTAGGCTGTTTTGAGAATCGTACGCAGTGCAAAGTTGATTTTAATTTACTTTGTCACAAAAGAGTTGGCACTACTATTTTTTTTTAAATTTTTAAATGTTTATTTACATATCAAATCAGTGTGAAGATTTGTTTGTGATAACATTCCTAGTAAGTATTTAAACATACCTATTAAACACATATTCAGAGTATCGATACTTCTATCGTTCTTCGCCAATAATAGTTTTGACTCTAGCAAACTGCTTTTTCAAAACTCTAAATAACAAATATTAATTATATTTTACTATACAAACAGGCAGTAGCTCGGTGGCGTAGAGGATAAGCGGCGCGGCCCGCAATCGTTGTTGTTAAGCAACTATTGCAAGGGTCGATTACGGGATGGGTGACCAAAAAACTATTATCTCGAGCGACTTCGTGCTTCGAAAGGCACGTTTAGCCGTTGTTCCCGGCTGCATTTACATTCGTTAATACTCTCCAATTCGCATTGGGCCAGTGTGAGGGTCATGGCCCATCCATAAAGAAGGTCTGGGTCCCTGCAGTGGGGACGTAAAAGGGCTGATGATGATGATGATAATAGAAATGGGAATATCATTATATTTCATTAATTATATGAGACAACGTAATGAAGTTAAAACTGTCTCTAACAATATAACAGTTTTTCTAGTACAACAGAATTGGCACCAACATCTATAGTATAAATCAAAGAAGTTTCGATAGCATTTCACTGATTTTCAAGGTCACAATACTATAGAAAATCTATTGCTATCAAATCATTAATA